CGAGGCGCTGCATGCGCCTCTCGCATGACTCTTACACGAGCGCCGCACTCACATCAACGACCCGGCCGCATGCTTGGCCCCACGCGAACGCGTTTTCTGTCTCTTACGACTACGTGGCGACTGCGGACTGGCGGTCCGCTGCAGGCCATAGCCCATACGTCCCGGGTAAAACGCGGCCGGGGAGTTTGTAAGTACTGCTCTACGCATACAGCACATGCGCATCACACGCGTATCCTAAACCACGATCTAAATCCGGCGGCCCCAGCCGCCGGCGCGAGCGCAGCGGCGAGGAGTGACGAGTGTCCTGTGTCCCGTCTCCCCGCGGCCCCGCGCGGCGCGCGCCACGTGTATGGGTGTTGGCTGCTGTTGGATAAAGCCGTACCTCGCACATTCTGACGCGTTCGCCATCGCCCGGACGCCGCGGCGTCACGGCTCCGATGGGCGTTGCGGCCCCTCTTTCAGACGACGTACGAAGACATGATTCCTGAGTCGATGGCCGCGTAACATCGAGCTTCCAAGCAGCTTCAATGGGCTTAATTAAGGGGCAAATAGGAGCGAAGACGATAGCGAAGGACCCTGATGAGTCAAAACTCCAGGAGACGTGCAACCCGGACCATCCCTCCTTGCCTCCTTGTCCCACTTATCAATGTTTCGAGGTGAGAGTACTCGCGTTGGTGTGGGACTGATGAGGAGAACGGCACGAGAGAAGCTCCTGCGCCGCATGCGCGATCCGTGAGATACACGACTCTCACCGACGTGTCACGAGCCCTCTCGGGACTTGGCCCAGGCCGCAGGCGCTACATGCACATGTGCATGTGCATGCTACATGTACATGTGACATGTGCATGTGCATGTAGGGGGTGTTGCAGATTGCGATTGTGGCGCAGGGGGTCTGTGGGTCTGGGATGCGTAGGGGGCTTCGTGCATATCCATAACAGCACGTTATCCTTGAATGACCCTCGTCGCAATGCTTGGGCGCACATGTAGTCTCCCGCGTGCGAACGCTCAGCAGAGGCTCGGAGCCGGTAGGGGCAGTTCGCGAACTGGCAGTCAGCGGCCCTAGCCCCTAGCGCCATTAGGCGGAGGTTGTCAGAACCGCCAGAAATTCCTACGCACACATATACAGAGTCGTACTGAACTGCACACACGTTTTAGATCACAAATCGGAAAGAAATGGCATGGGCTAGGGGTCGGGGGAGGGGAAACAAATAAATAAAAACGGACACCTCTCTAGACTCTACTGTGAGATGGCCATGGCCATACTTGACCCCTATACGGCTTTACGTAACGTCACGACACCCCCTCTCAGTTTCTCTCTGCTTCCGCGTTCCGGGTTCCTGCGACGGTGTATCATTCACTTTATGCCACCGTGGCCTCTCCGGATATGCAACGGTGGCATAAAGTGAATGATACACCGTCGCAGTTCCGCTCCCCTCGCCCCCCTCCCAACATCTCTGGCAGAGGCCGCGCTCGGGGCGCTGAGCTGGTGAGTGGGGTGACGAGGACGAGACACCATCGAGCGCAAAACCTTTATTCCACGCGCGCCGGCCGCCTCTTCTGCTGCCACGCCTGCTCTATTTATTTATTTATGAGTCCAGACCTCTACCCCAGCCGCTCCAGCAGCCCCCCGATCTTCTTGATCACCCGCGCCACCTCCTCGTCGCTCGGCCGCGCACCCGCGCGCTCCATTGGCCTCGCTCGTGCCTGCACGCGGGTAGTCTCCCCCCATCCCCAGGGCCTCCAGGGCTCGCACCTCAACCTCTCACAGACCAGCGCAGACCGCCAAAAGAAATTTTTTGAGCAGTTTTTTTTTCTTTTCGCTGGGCGTCGCTTGGCCTGCCGAGAGGCTCCTCGATCTATGTGCATGTGTGTATGTTCGGGTTCGACTGGGCGCGCGGCTTCATCGCTCCCTTCGCCGACCGCGACGGCGTGCCGTTTGCAACGCCGAGCGACGCGGTCGAGGCCATCCTTGGCATCGTCCTCTCGGCACGAGACGGGGTGGTCGCGAGTCCATCGCTGATGGACCTTGGCAGCGGCGACGGCCGTATTGTTCTCGCCGCGGCTCGCCGCGGCGTGCGTGCTGTCGGCGTTGAGCTGGACAGTGGCCTCGTCGCGGCTGCACGGGCAGCGGCGGCTGCGGAGGGCCTCGACTGCTGCAGCTTTGAGGAGACGACGGTGCTTGAGGTGGCGCCTGCGAGCGACACGCGGCTCGTCGCGTACCTGCTCCCGGCCGGGCTGTCAAAGGTTGCGGCGCGCCTCAAAGCCGCCGGCTTCTGCGGCCTGTTCTTCACGATCCGGTGGGCTGTCAGCCAGTCAGCGACCACGTGACATGTCCTAGCACGAAAGGGCATACGGACGCGGCGTTCTCTTTTCGCCCGGTGAGATGGAGCGACACGCCGTCAGGGAGGGCGCTTCACCACAGAAGGAGCGAAGTAGGTGGCCCGTACCAGGGGAAGCCCTTTCACCACGTCGCAGCCACCCGCTCCCCAACGGCTGGGCGCTGCACGAGTACGCCTGCGGCGAGGGCGGCGGCGAGGGCGGCGAGGAGGCGACGGAGGAGAGCGGTATGGTGACTGGCGTGGCGGGCGAGACCGCGGCGGCTGTTGCGATGGCGACGGCTGCAGAGACGGCGACGGCGACGGCGACGGCTACGAAGGCGACGGCGACGGTTACGGCAGTGGCGGCGGCGGCGGAGGCGGCGGCGAGCGCGGTGGCGACGGCAGCGGCGGCGGAGCAGCAGCAGCAGCAGCAGCAGCAGCAGCAGCAGCAGCAGCAGCAGCAGCAGCAGCAGCAGCAGCAGCAGCAGCAGCAGCAGCAGCAGCAGCAGCAGCAGCAGCAGCAGCAGCAGGAGGAGGAGGAGGGGGAGGAGGAGGAGGGCGGTGCGGGGTGGGAGGAGGACGGCGGCGAGGAGTGGCAGTCGCTCCCCTGCGACATCTTTCAGGCGCCGCCGCCCCAAACCTGGGGCGGGGCGGGCGGCATGGAGCCTCCCACCTTCCCTGAGCCTCCCTCAGGCGCCGCCCCTCGTGCCGGTCGGCTGCAACTCCTTCACCCTCCCTCTGCCTGGCGGCGCGGGCTTGGCGCGGCCGCGTGCGGCCCTCGACGGCGTCTGCTCACAGCCACCCTGTGAACAGGTGGCGGCGAGACGGAGAGGGTTGCCGTGCTATGGACGGCGTCTACTCACGGCTGGCGCTGTGGGCAGGCGGCGGCGTGGCGGTGCGGCCTCGCCGCTCGCTGTTCGAGCGGACGGGTTCGGGGGCCGAGGCGGCGGCGGCGGTACGGGAGGGTGTGGGCCACGGAGCAGACAAGGGCCGGATGACTGGGGCGCTGCTGTGGGACTCCGCCGTCGTACTCGCCTCCTACCTCGCCGCGTCTCGCCCCGCCGCCGCCGCTCGCGCGCAGTCTCGCCCAATCTCGGGTGAGCTGGCCGCCGGCTGGCGGGGGGCGTGCGTCGAGGTTGGTGCGGGCCTCGCCCTCCCGGGGCTGACTGCAGCGGCGCTCGGCTGGACGACCACGCTCACCGACCGGCAAGAGTGCCTCCCTCTCCTCGCCGCCGGCGCGGCAGACAACGGCTTGGGCGAGGCTGTGGCCGTGGCGCCGCTTGCGTGGGGCGACCCGGCCGCCGCCTCCGCTCTCGGCACCTTCGATCTCGTGCTGGCGAGCGACTGTGTGTACGAGGTGGATGATCGACTCTAGGAACCATCAGTCGTGAGTCACACCCAATCCTCCCCCTCATCGCGTGAGTCAGGTGGAGTCCGCCGCGCCGCTCGTCGCCTCCCTCTCTGCGCTGGTGCGGCGGGGCGGCGAGGGGCGGGGCGGCGAGGCGCTTGCTCTAGCGAGAAGGCCGCTGTTGTCCACGGCGTCTCTTCACAGCTCCCGGCGTGAACAGGTGCTGCTCGCGTTCGACGAAGCCATCGGAAGGCGCGCCGCCGCGGCCGGCCACACACCGCTCTCCCTTCTCGACGCTCGCTCGACCTTGAGGCGCCGATCTCTCTGTCGCTAGGCACGCTGCGGTGGCCGCCTTCCGCGCGCTCGCGACGTCCAGCTTCGAGTGGGAGGAGCTGGCCCACGAGTTGAAGGAGAGCGTACGGCTCGTAAGGCTCAGGCCGAGGGCGAGTGAAGGCGGGGCGTGACGGTTTGGAGTGTGTCGGTTCATGTCAGTCTGCCCCCCCGGCGGTGTCCCCGCGCCATTTTGTCGTAGGGGTTTCATGTCTTCCTCACGCGCCCGCACTCGCCAGACGGATCGAGCGCAGACCCGGTCTGGTAGACGCCAGGACGCAGTTGGACCAGGAGGTGCGAGGTGAGGAGACTACGACTGAAGTAATACTTCCAGATAGCTCTCTCTCTCTCTCTCTCCTCGCCGTGTGTGTGTGGGAGTAGTGTGTCTCCACCGCCGAATCTGACGCGGGGCGCCGAAGCGGGGCCGTGCCATAGGCCTTCCCTTACATCATACCCCTGGGCCTGGCGCAGCGGCCAGCGCGCGCAAGCCTCTCATTTGAAGGGGTGCGACCGGCGCTTGCACACGTACAGCTTCTCGTGGCCACCGCGGAAGGGGGCGAGCCGCAGCACTCGCTTGACCCTCCATCGCGCCTGCATCGACACTCAGCTCAAGAGTCTGACGGCGGAACTCGCCACAATCACGAGGGGTGGGGCGGCCCCCCGGCGCGCCTCGAGCAGGTCGAAGAAGGACGCGTCTGCGTTGTACCTAGCGGCAGCGACACGCCGTGAAGAGAGGGACAAGGGGGTGTTGCGGCGGAGGGTGTCGACGCTGCACCCGCCTCGCGCCTCCCCCACGTAGAGCAGCACCTCGCCTGCTCACGCACCATGCCGTGAACGGCGTCTCCTCACACCTCGCCATCGTAGAGCAGCACCCCCCCCCCCCCGCCGCGGTACGAAGACAGCGCCTGGTGCGCCACCGGGCCTCAGTCACGACGACTGCGCAGTGAGCGAATCGAGTGGCTGGCGCGGCACCTGGTGCGCCATCGGACCGGGCGGAGGGTACACGAGCAGCAGCGTGCGGCCGCCGCTCTCCTCGGGCGACCCGAGCACCTCGACGCCACCTGAGACGGAAACCGCTTGCGAGTCCCTCCCGGGGCCGTGAGGCGCCCTCCGACCTCCTCGTCGCTCGCCTCGCCGCACCAGCTCGGCCGGCATCTCACGCACCGCCTAAACCCATGAGGAACTAGCAGTGGCTGGCCAATCAAGGACGCCTCTGCGCGCATCTCGCGCCCCGCCTGCGGCACCTCCGACCCGTCGTCGTACGCCGCCACGTCCGCACCGACGGCGCCTGAGCGACAAGCCTCGGACACGTCTTTGGGCGTGTCTTGGAGATGTCTGGAGCACTCAGCGCCGGCGCCGAGGGCTCTCGCCCACTGCCCAGCACCGGCGCCGAGCTCGATGAGCGGAGAGTGCGAGGCGACCTCGGCGAGTGCGGCCTCGGTCCACGCCGCGCAGCCATGCTGGAGCAAGTACCGCCGCCGCTCGCCGGGGAGCGCGTCAAAGAGGACGGCTTCTTGCTTTGCCGCCACCTCCTGCTGCAGCGCGCTGACCGCCGCCCTGGCCGCATCGCCTCCCAAGTCGATCGCCTGCTGTAGCCGCGGCCGCACCTCGCCGAGGTACTGCAGGAGCCGCTGCTGCCTCAGCGCTCGCTCGGGAAGAGCCTGCTTCAGCTCCGGGTCCTCGAACGGGCGCCTGCCGGGGCTCTGATCCAAGAGAATGCCGGGCGCAGCCGCCGCCGCCGCCGGCTCGGCCAGCGCCGCGCTGCTCGCCGTGGCGACCGCAGCGGCGCTGGCGAAAGAGGAGGCGAGGCGAACGGCACAGCGGCGACGGATGGCGTGCCACATGTACATGTGGGTACGAACCAAGGCGGAAAAGAATTCTACGAGCGAGCCCCTCTCACAACAGACTGGCACGAACTAGCACCACAAAAGGCACAGCAGACAACGGCCCCTTATGGGCCGTCGAAGAGGCCGTCATACTCCTCCGGCCTCGCCCCCCCTTCCCAACCCTCCCCTGGCTCAGGCTCCTCATCCTCGCGGCGCGCAGTGCGCACCCCGCCCCGCGAAGACGAACCCTTCCGCCGGCGTGCCTCGCGGGACTGCCGCCCACTGCCGCCGCCCTTCCCCCCCTCCGCCGCCCGCGCCTTCTCCGCCGCCCGCGCGGCCGCCTTCGCCTCCTCCGCCGCTAACAGCGCCTCCCTCCGCGTGACCCCTATGGGCCCCTTGCGCATCCAGGAGAGGTCGCGCGAGCGACCTATCCAGGGGTGATTCGCAGACGGCGCAACGTAGCCGCTGCGCAGCTCCGAGTAGTCGCCAAAGCCCCCCCCCAAATAGCCCTCCAGGCAAGCATCGCAGACCCACTCGCCTAGCTGAGAGATCTCAGAACTCTCGCCGCGCCAGATCTCCTTCTCCGCCGCCTCCATCTCCTCTCTCGACCAGCCCCCCAGCTCCGACCAGCCCTCACGCAACGCCCGGCGCCACAGCCACGGCTCCACGCCAAACCCGTCGTAAAAGTTCGCAAAGCACTGCTGACACTCGAGGCCTGGGCCTCGAGCGTCCGCCGCGGAGACGGGGTTGTCCGTGCTCGCTCCAGCCCACTCCTCGAGCGTCGCCGCCACGAGCGCCCCGTAGACGGCGTCGACCGCCGCCTCCGCCAACGCCTCAGCAGCCGCCTCGCCCGCCTTAGAACCCGTGGCCTCATCTAAAATGAAAGGGTGGGGCGCGCCGGCAGCGTCCGAGACCGGCGTCTCGGGCGGGGTAATGCCGGCGGGCCCCCAATATGGGGCACGTCCAGGTCCATCAGCAGCGAGCGAGGGCGGGCCGCCCTCCTCCCCCTCCGCCGGCGCCGCGCCGCCGGTGGAAACCTCCTCCACTGGGTTGGGCGCTCAGCAGCCAAACCCGCCGCGGTGTCGGGCACCTTCTCGAGCTCCCCCCCGCGACCCCTGGCGCCACGGCCGCGCCGCCCTCGGCGGCGCCGCGGCGCCTTCCGCCCGCCCTCGACCTCCTCCTCCTCCCCCGCGGCGGCGATCGTCCCATCGCCGCTCTCCGGCAGCGCGGGCTCCAAGGGGTCCAAACTGGATCCCTCGGTCCCACCTCCGGACCCACCTTCAGCGGCCTGCGCGTCGCAGGCACCGCCGTCCGCCTCTTCGGGGCGCGCGCCGCCGCGGCCCTCGCCGCCAGCCGCTGCCCCGCCACCAGCCGCCTGATCGCCAGCCGCCACCCCAGCCGGGGTGTCGCCCAGCGACAAGCCGCTGAGGGATGCCAAGACCGCAGCTGCGTCCCCCCAGCCCCGCCGGCCGAGAAGAGCTCGGCGGAGCTTCTCCGCCTGGCGGTCGTGGATGTCGAGCGAGCCGATGCCCTTCTCAGCGACCTCCTCGAGGAGGTCGCCGGCATCGCCAACGCCCAGCTCCGCGAGCCGCCCCTCATACCTGCGGTAGAGGCTGTCGGCGACGCGCGCCTTACCACCGGCAGTGGTTCAGCGACTCGAACCTCGCCAACGCACACTACGTAGACGAGCGTCCAGACGGCGAGAGTGGCGCCGGCTCGCCGCTGCGGTACAACTACCCTTGCGACGTAGCCTCGGCATGCAGCATCTTCCGTCAAAGAGGAGGGCAGCGGGTGCTGCAACTCTGCGACTGCGTGATGTTGCAGCAGGTCTGCGACGGCGCCCATTGGCACAACGTCGCGCTCATCGGGCCTCAGCGGCTCGCCGTGCACTGGGAGCCGTTCGGCACCAGCATTTTCAGCCGCATCCTCTAGCGCGCGTTCGGGACGCCTTCGACGCGGCGCCAAAGGACACGGGCTGGCAGCTAGTCAGCGTGACGCTCAACTTGCAGAGCGACGGCTACCAGTGCGGGCCGTGGGCGCATTGGTTCCGCCGCCGCCTCTTCGCCTACTGCGCGGACGACGAGCTGATGAGCAAGCAGTCCTTTGCCGAGTACCTCTCGACCAGCCCGGGCATCAGCCCGCTCGGAGCGCTCAGGAACAGGAGGGAGCGAGAGGCCGCCGGCGCAGCAAACACGGCCTTCATGCACGAGGAGCGCGTGCGGCTGCGCTGGCTCCTCCGGGCAGCGGCGCGAGAGGACGCGCTTCCCTACGAGCATCCGCTGCAGGACGCCTTCCGCCGAGCAGGGGCTGCGGCGGCAGCGCGCGCGGACGCGGTCGTGCTCGACGAGGGCTTGGAAGGCGATGAAAAGTACTTCGACCTCTATGACGACTCGTGACGGCCTGCACAGGTCGCCCTGGTCGCCGTCGCCGTCTCGCCGCCTCATCCGCCAACACGGCCGTCGCCGCCAGGGCCGCCACTGCCATCGCCATCGCCGTCGCTGCTTCGCCCACCACTACCAGGGCCGTTGCTCTACCGCTCCCCAAGCGTATTGCCGGTGCTGTCACGGGCTGCCACTCCTAGTACCTTGCTGCTCGGTCGCGTTCAGTCTAGGTCGACACGCTACCCTGCCGTTCGGGCGCCGCTCACCGCTTCGCAGCGAGCCCGGGCTCTGTAAACATCTCCGTCGCGAGCTGCGCACGCCCCGCGGGTCCGTGTGACTGTAGCTGTATCTCCCAAACATCTCCCGCAGCTCAAAGCGATCTCGGCCTAATCTCCACGGCTCGAGATTGCACGAGATAAAAACGGCGCTCTCGAGGTGGTTCGCCGGAATCTGGATAGCGGAGCGCGTAGAACGCGCGCTGCCGATGTGCACAGAGCCCGGGATGGCCAGCATCCGCCCTCGTGGTCGCGAACGGCGCCGGTCGACGCGTGCGGCTCTGCGTCAACCAGTACGGAGCCCGAAATGCGTCCAAAAGTAAAAAAATCAGCTTTCCGCGCCTCTTCACTGCTCGCCGCCGCGCAGGCGTGTTCCGGGGGCCCAGTGGAGCATTTTATCTAGTGGCGGCACCAGCTCTAGAGAAATTTATAATTTCTCAGTGGGGTTTTGACATAGTGCTCCTCCTCACTCGCCGCACCCTCGTCGTCCGAGTCGGCGCCGGCCCGGGCCGTCGGACCAAAAAAGAAATCCCGGGGACCTAACTCAGTGCAAAGCACCTAACCTGACTCAAGCTACCTTACCTTAAGTTCAGCACCTTGCGGTACGTCACCTCAAGTGATGGGGGGCGGCGGAGGCGGCGGCGGCCCTTGCTGCTGCTGCATCTTGAGCAGGAGGTATTCCCAGTGGCGCGAGGTGGCCTTCTTGGTGCGGCCGGGGAGAAGTTCCACGATGCGGGACCACTTGTGCCCAATCTCGCGCACCTATCCGAGAGACCGCCGAGATGTAGCCGAGAAGTCGCCGAGAGGTGGCCGAGCTAACCACGTGTGCCCAACCCCACGCAAACCGACGAGATCATGATCGTGGCCTCCGCCACATCTCGGCTACATCTCTGCGGTCTCTAGGCTGGATTTGGCTGCATCTCGGCTGCATCTCGGCTGTCTCTCGGCTGTCTCCCGGCTGCCTCCCGGCTGCCTCCCGGCTGCCTCCCAGCTACGCCCCGGCTACGCCGCGGCTAGCTCCCGGCTTTCTCTCTCACCGCCGAGATGATGATCGCGTCTTCGGCCTGCGTCCACCCGATCCGCTCCGTCTTTGCTCCGGCCTCCTCTCCGCCCTTGAGGCGCCGCAACCAGCGCTTGCGCACCGCGTACTCCGAGCAGCCCTGCAGCTGCGAGGCGATGCGCCGCCAACGGCAGCCGTACTGCTGCACGCCATCCTTGATGATCTCGTCCTCCTCCGCCGTCCACTTGCGTCCCCCGAGCGCCTTGCGCGGCCGAGACCGCTCCGACCCGCCGCCGCCCTCAGCGAACGGCTCGCCAGTGGCGTAGTGGTTGTTGATGACGACCAGCTCGGTCGAGCGGCCCTATGGCACAACGAGGTCGCACTCAAAGCCCCCGCGTGCGCGAGTTGACGCGTCAAGCGAGCGCGGCACCGACGCGTGCACCACCGAGACCAAGCCGAGCCCTTGCAGCTGGCCGACCACGTGGCTGATGGCCCGCGTCGCTGCGCGGCTGCGGATCTGCCACTCTCCGCCCGAGAGCTGGCCGAGCCACGGCCCGCCGTCTGCACCGCCCCCCTCGCCGCCCCCGACCGAAAGAACCCGCCTTACCCCCTCGCCATTGCCCGCGCCGCCCGCGCCGCTGGCCGTCGCCTCGCCGGCCGCCTCCTCGCCCCACGGGACCTCGCCGCGCTCGAGTGCCTCCTCGAGGTCGCCCCGCCGGTCAAAGGAGTGCATCTCCTCCCCATTCTGCCCGTACCACACCCAGCGCGGCCGCGGCCGGCGCCCCGTCTCGGCGAGGACCTGGCAGGGGCGCCAGCAGTGACGGCGGTGAAGACGGTGACGGCGATGAGGGCGGTGACGGCGGTGACGCGTGAGAGGACGGCAGTGAGCGTGGAGATGGGTAGTGCGGAAGGCCACCTCGCGCCAGCCGGGCGGCGCGGCGAAGGCGGACACGTCGAAGGGCGCGACCGGCAGCATTCCCTTGAGCGCGTCCACCGACACGAGCGGCTCCATCGCCACGCCGCCGAAGCTCCTGCTGCCTCCGCCGTGCGTCCGCGGCCGCTTTTCCCTCCCCGTCTCATCCTCGTCGTCCTCCTCCTCCTCCGAGCCCGACCCCTCACCCGAGTACGCACTCGCAACATTCGCCCGCGCAGGTGTCGCCCGGCCGCTGCGGGCGGCGCTCGCGCGCGCACCCCCCCGCGCCGACTTGGCTGCTTGCGCCTCTGCCCACGCCTCGAATCCCGCCAGCTTGAGCACCACCTGTTCACACCACCACGCCTGAGGAGTCGCCATTCACAGACCAATGCCGACCACCACCTCACCTTCGGTGCAGCGCTACCCCCCCGCTCTGGCGCCTCCTCGCCGCCGCCCTCGCCGCTCCCGCCCTCGCCGCCGCCTTTGTCGCTCCCGCCCTCGCCGCTCCCGCCGCCGCCCTCCACCTCGCTGCCCTCGCCGTCGCCCTCACCGCCGCCGTCGCCGTCGCCACCGTCGCCGCCGCCCTGACCGCCGCCGCCCTCGCCGCACCCTTCCCCAGTCTGGGCGCTGGGCGCGGCGCCGACCGGCCGCGAGGCGAGGCGCCACGGCGGAGCATCGCTGCCCTCGGCGCCGCCGGCCGGCTCATCGGCTTGCAGCGTCTGCAGCAGCAGCCGCCCGAGCGCGCCTTCGATCGTGGAGGGGGGCGCCAAGCAGCCGCTCGCCGGCGAAACCAGCCAGCGGCGCACACGGCCCTGCCGCAGCAGGCTCGACAGCGCGGCGCGCGTGGCCACCACAGGCACCAGCTCCTCCTCCGCCGCGCCCCGCTTGCCGCCGCCGCCTGTCTTCGCCCGCTTGGGCGGCGGCGCCTTGGCGTGAAAATCGTTGTACTCGCCCGCGATCGCCTCGGCAACCCAGACCACGCCGCGGCGCTCACCGCTGCCGCCGGCGCTGCCGGCGCCAGCCTGCTCCTCCCGCTCCGCCGCCGCCAGCCTCGCGACGACGATGTCGCTCGGCTCGCCGCCGCTCGGCTCGTCCGAGCGGCCCTGCAGTTGAGTCAAAAACTCCCCCATGGCCTCGCACGTCGCCGTGCGGTTGGCGTCGCGCGGGCTCCACAGGCTTGCTTGCCCTGGCGGAGGGGCGGGGGCGGGGAGGGCGGCGGCGGGAAGGGTGGCGGGCGGAGGAGGAAAGGGGTGGGAGAGCGAGAGGGCGGCAGAGGCGAGGGTGGCGGCGGCGGTCGTGAGCAGCTCACCGCCGTGCATGCCTGTGGCGAAAGAGAGGGGGGGGGAGGGGGGGGGGCAGGGGGCGAGGCAGCACACCGCGGAGGCTCTGCTGCAGGGGCCCGACGCCCTGGCCGCCGAAGGCCCCATCGCGCTTCTTCTCCTTCTTGACCGCGTCCGAATCCCCGGGCAGCACGCCGCCCTGCTTCTCGCGCGAGGCTGTGCCTGCGCGCGGGAGCGCGTGTGGAGGGAGCGCGTGTGGAGGGAGCACGAGAGGTGAGGGGTGGCGGAGGCGGTGAGGGCGGCGGCGGGGAGGGCGGCAGAGGCGAGGGTGGCGGCGGTGGTAATGAGCAGCTCACCGCCCTTGCGACTTGTAGCGGAGGGCGGAGGCGGTGAGGGGCGGCGGCGGCGAGGGCGGGGAGGGCGGGGGCGGGGAGGGCGGCGGCGGGAAGGGCGGCGGCGGCGGCGAGGGTGGTGGTTGCGGCGAGGGTGGTGGCGGCGACGGCGAGGGTGGTGGCACACAAAGCTTCGGAAGGGGCAGTGAGGAGTCGGAGTGGGCGTTCCGGCACCTCCCTCGCTAGACCGAAGCAGCGACCGCACCGCCCTCTGCCACTCGGCTTGGCCGATGCCGGGCGGCGGCCGGAAGGCGTTGGCGGCGACCACGAGCGAGCCGAGCTCGAGCCCCTTGCCCGCATCGACGGCGGCGCGCAGCAGCTCCACCTCGGAAGCCGAACGGCAGATGCTGTACAGGCTCGCGCCTGCGACAGGGGGCTCGAGAGACTGGGGCGGGAGCAGGCGGTGCGAGGGGCGTGCTACACGGATGAGGGGCGGCTGCAAGGGTCTCGCGAGTGCTCGCACGTGCGTGGTAGGTATGCGGAGGTGCTGTCGCTGGCCTAGGCACACGCACCGCCTCCGCCTCC